GGGGGGGGGGGGTAGGGTGGAAAACCAATTCCATGGAACATTTTGCCCATTAAACAAGACACTTGGGCAGAAAATGGAATTTATTTTCCATGGATTTGGTTTGTATCAAACAGGCCCTAATTCTAAAATGGAATAATCAGACCTTCAACAAGTAAAATGACAACTGACTAGAAACAATTGAATCTATTATTGCCTGCTGTCAGAAGCGGTTAAAATATGAGTAACAATAAAGAAAAGCAATCATGATACCACTTCTTCAATGTCACTCAGTCGATAAAGTAACAATCAAGCTGATGCCTTCACAAAATAATAATAATAATAATAGAATGCGCTAAAACATACCATGCAACAAGACAACTGCAGCAACAACACCGCAAAATTTCTTTAGCATATAACAACACTACATCATAAACAGCACAAAGTTCAATTAAAGTAGGATCTTCCTTCTTTTTGCTATATTCGTAAAATTAATATTCCTACAATTGCTAGGAATCACATGTTATTATCATTACAAAAAGCATGGATATCAAATCCTAATGCAAAGAAATTTTAAATCGAAAAAAACACTCATACTTACCAACACAGCCTGTGAAACTATATAGGATAAGTCACTGAATACCAAAATCAAATTTATATACTAGCTATGGGGATATACCCTGAGTTAAATATGCAACTATTATAAATTGTTTTTTCTCATTTATTTTAAGTTAAACATAGTAAAAAACTGAGTGGATAGAAATTATTTTTCACATTATAACTACAATAAAAAGGCAAAGGAAAGAAGACTCACTAATTAGATTTTGAAAGAGGTGGTCAACGATGAATCTAGATGCCTCAGGGCCCCCATGGCCATCATAAACACCAACAAAGGTGGCATGGTGACCAGTCTCAACCTGGCTCTGATCCTCCAGAAATTTATTCGCCTGGACCACTGCGAATGAGAACTCTCCATGAGAATGCTTCTCAAGGTCTTTGCACCAGAGAAGTGCATCATCCTCGCCTCCCAAAGAATCATCATCATCCTTGTTCATACGGGCATATCGGCCCAAAGGTCGCAAACATGCGGATACTGTTCTTCCCAACCAAGAAAACATCCCTCATTTCCTTCTTATGTAATGCAGTAGAGGATTTCTTAGGTTGATGCAGAGGAACAATCCACACTGAATCCTTAAATGTAATACTCCAAATAAAATAACACTGTAAAAAAAATAATAATAAAAAATAATAATAATCATATTAAATACATCTAGCCAATTAATCAAGAGCAAAAACAAATTTTATGGGAAAAATCTGAACAGTCTAAAAACCCAAATGTGCACATTGATTCCAATAACAAGATGCACTAGAAACAAAAAAGGAACTGTCTAAACACAGTAGCATAATATCATCATAACAGTTGATAAAGGCCTTGCTCAAGGGAAAGAAACAGAAACAAGGTAAAAACAAAAATTTTAAAACAGATGAAGAGCCACACCCATAGAAATTGTGCTCCAGCAAATTCAATGGCAAGAAAATGAAAAATCATGGATGTAGAAAAGTAACACAACAAGATACAATGAGAATTATTATTTTTTTACTAAATGTGAATTATTTTTTCCTAACAACGTGGGAGGAAAAATACAAGAGCTTACTTCTAGGAAAGAGCAGAAAAATGGAAAGGAAAAACAATTATGACGAAAAAGAATGACTGGTGTAGGAAAATTTTGGTAAATTTAGAAAAGACGAATTCCGACTACTAAAGAGTAAAACCCTAGAATTCCAAGGCAGAGACGTAGTACGACCCAGAAAATACCTCTAAATTTTCAGAAAATGTCAAAATCCAATTATTGAAAACTGAAGCAAGACAATCACACAAGTATTGATCATTATTTTCCGTAATAGAAGACATTCAAATTCAAGATTGCAACCAAAAAAAATAAACAGAACCAAAATTAACTTACCAAGATTTTTGTTTTATACGTATAGTACAAGCAGAAACCGTAAACTAAGATATCAAGAACCCACAACAAATTGATCAATGCAGAGAGTTCGAAAGAAAGTATTGACTATTTTCGTAAAAAGAAATCAGAAACATATGTTCAGAATGGATCAAATCAATGTGTAATACGGAATAGAACAAATTTCAGATCATGATCTTCGTAGAGAACATGAAAAACTCGAAGCCAATACTTTCTTTTACAAGAAAGTGCAAAAGGAAAAGGGGGAAGAAATACGAGAAAACGTATCTGAGTTCAAAAATTACAAGTAAGATTCGGCGTACATATATTCATTTGAGAGAGAGAGTTGGGTAAAGAACTGAATGAATTTTTTGGGGGAAAAAAGAGACACTAGGGGGGTGCGTGTTCATAAGAAAAGTTGATGATGAATTGGTGGGTGCAAGGCTGATTCATCGGACTTCTAAAATATACGGTATTAGATTGATAAGCGATAAGTTGATTATAGCTGGCTGATAGTCACCGTTCCAATAAGTAATAACTTTCATATCTCCTATCGTATCATATCCTACTAATTACATAATTAGGTTAATCTCCGCTGAAAAGTCAAAATGACTATTTTAGAAGCCATGTGAAGAATGGTCAATTTTAATTAGTGTGGCAACATAGTCAACTCGAGAATTGTGACATTTACAGCTTGTTTGGAAGGAATTTTTTATCCTAAAAAATTAATTTTTTTACCGTTATTTCACTATTTCAATTGTAATTTTTGACATTTTCTCTCACAGGTGGACCCACTTTTCTTTTTACGGTCAAAAAATTAATTCTCAAAATCTCTCTCAAACGAGACCTTAGCAACATGGCAATAAACAGATACTTATTATGTACAGTTGATTTTACAGATGATAAAGTGTTATACATTCTAGTCATTGATGTGCATTTATTTGTACAAATTAATAGTTGAAATGCATATCACATCATCATCATACCCAATTTGTTTTGTTTTTGTTTTTCTTTTCCAGCCTTTGAATGCTCGCATACAAATTACAGAGTGTGGATGTGCAAGTGCGACATATATGTGTATACATGCTAAAGCGGTAGATTTAACACGGATTTTTAGAACCCAAAGTAGGAAAATTGGAATGGAATTCGCTTACCCTTATTTTATTTATTTATTATTTTTTTTTTTTAACTTTTCTTTTGGGTAGGTACAATGGTTGTTGGGTTAATTAATCTATGAAAATGACATATAGATCAAATAAATTATTTGAAATTTTCTAGGTAACTTTATGTGAAGTTTTTAAGTTTTAATGAAACTTTTGGTAGCGATTTAAATTTTAAAATTTGGGTCGTTACACTATGCAATTGACATAGCATGTGTAGTTCGTTATGCATCGACTTAAGAGATTATATTAGCTTTGTAAGTCATCGACATTACTTGCTACTCAATTGATTTCGTAATTTCGAATTGGTTAGAGAATTTTAAGTTTTGTTGTCCGAATTGGCGATTTTGAGCTTTATCCAACTTTTTGGTTTTCTTGCCCGTTATCGAATTGATCAAGCAAATTTAAAATTCGGTTATTTCAATTGGCGATTTTGATATATTGAGCTCATGGTCTAATGATTTGAGCCTTCGCCAATTTTTTGGTTTTGAAACCTCACCCCTAGGACAATAAAATGATTTTGACCTTATAAACAATTTTTTAGCTTTCTTACTCACCGTCTAACCCCTTAACAATTTTAATGTATTGAGTGTGTGGTTTAATGATTTCTAGCTTTAACCAATTTTTTGATTTTGAAAGCTCACCATCAAGATGTAGAGCGATTTTGAGCTTATAAGCATTTTTTTATTTTATTTTATTGATCATGGCCTCGCTTCTTGAGCAATTTTGATGAACTAGGAGAAGTTTGGAGACCATGATTCATACAGAAAATCTCAATGATTGTAGATCAAGTCCATGCATTTACACAAACTTGCCTAAATTTGGAGACTCGGTAGACGCATTGAGATGTCTCAACTAGGTTGATCCCCCTTTTTTAACAACCTTATCATCAGTCACAATGTTGACTTTTCATTTAACAATTCTAATAATCACAATAGGCTAGAACTAGTAGGAGGCGTTACATTAGAAAAATCAATAAAAATCTTCGCAATTATATTTGCAAGGAAAATTGAAAGACATCCTATTGATATTTAACTAAGTCATTTCTATTGATATTAAATTTTGAGGTGCTTAGCGTTCTACGGCCTAACATTGGCTTCTCTTTTAAATCTATAGACTGTAAGCTCCATTTCTAAGATTGCAAACTACTTTTTATGGTCATTCCCAAATTGGTCCGAGCTTAGAAGGTGGTGCCTGGCTGCTACTGACTCCATGCTTACAAGATCTCATAACTAAAAAACACTTAGCCTCAACTTGCGATTAAAGTACTCTGCGACCTATCCCTTGTAAGTTGCCATTTTTATAGCTACCCTTTCTCTCATTACCTCACGTGCTGCTTGACATTTATTCTACAAACTTCATTTAGGATTCAACCTGAACTACGACTTCCATTTTGAAAGATAGCTTGAAGGTGTTTCTCCTGCTAGTTCTCATAGGGTCGTGTGAATACCCATAACATATTTTGTAACTCATCTGCCCATAGCTCTTTCTCTTTTTCTAATCTTACTTTTAGATCCCACAATATGGTTCAATATATTACTTCGGTATATCTATTTGACTACTAGTGAGCAATAGAAGTAAGGCTATGGTCTATGTGATAACTCTTACAAAAGCTTTAAAATTATGAGTGTCAAACTGCCTACCATTGTATGTAATTATCACTTTAGGTATTCCAAGCCTACGTATAATGGTCTTTCATACAGAACTTTTAGGTTTTATGTTGTAATTGACAATTTCGCGAACAAAAATGACTAAATTGAATATGTGTAAAAGTCAAGGAGTTAGGAACAATATTGTATAGTTGGATAAGGTAGCTTAGGGTTAGAGATCGAGTTTGGAACAAGGAAGAAGAAACGCTGCATTTTCGTTCGACTCTCGCCAAGAAACTGCTCGAGTGACAAAAATGGAATGAACTTCACTAGTTTGTCACTAAGACTTCGCTTAAGCGAAACACTATCGCTCGCTTCTCGCTAGAGTGTCGCTTGAGCGAGGGTATTATTCAACCAACTCCAATTCGTGATTTTCGAAAGTTTTACACAACTTATGATACCTAAACATTTCCAACTATAAGTACTTACGCCTTGTACGATTTTCAGAGTGGCTGTTCATTGTGCCTCTACTTTATATCATATTCCCAACATCCTTTGGGAATCCAAGAACACATTCAACTTGGGATTCAAATCATTCATTCTTGAGATCCTACAACCATATATTAGTAAAAACATTAATGCTTCAGAGTCCAAAATGTAAGGATTTTTAATCAATAGATGGGCTTGTATGTGTGAATAATTATGTGTTGAATTATAGACTATCGAATTCGGTTGAGTCCAATTAAAGTGATCTAATAAGGTTTTGATTTTGGGCTTTAATGTATCCAATTAAATTATGGATTTACATATGTGTAGAGACCGGGCCCAAGTCCTAATTCTATGATGGGCCGAATTAGGTCAAAGGGCGTCCCTATATAAATAGGTTATGGTCCTCAGATCACATGCACGTATTATTCATTCTCTACTGCATCCCATACAGAGAGGAAAATGAGATTGCGTGTAGATTTGGAAGACTATATCGCGAAATTCATATTGCATTAACCATGTCTGATTCAGGTACGCTTCCGCTTTAATTCTTGTATTTCTTGATGATTTAACATGAAAGATCCGGTAATTTAAAGTATTAAATTATCCAACAAATGGTATCAGAGCCTCTTCATGATGAATAATTGAGAATCGAATAATTTAATTTGGTTCTTGCAATATTTTATAAAGTTTTCAGATTTGATTATTTAGGATTTATATTTTTTTGAATTTGAAAACTTTTGCGGTATAATTTTTGTTATTTTCGAAATTCGGATTAATGGTTAAGAAAAATTCAGATTTGGAATTTCGGTTTTTGAGATTCAGATTTAAAAAATAATAATTTAATTATGCGCCGGCCATTGCCGCATCGCAGCAGCGCGAGCCGCTGCACAACACAGCAATGCCGGGGTTGCTGTGTGGTGGGGGCGTCAGCGTCCGCCGACCCTCCCCAATCTGTTCGGGCGGTGCACGCCGGCGCCACCCAATGAAGAGGAGAAAGAAAGAAAATTTTTGGTTAGGTTTCCAGTTTGTTGATTTTTGGGGGCGGGGGCTTTCTCTGTAAATTAGATAAATTGAGGCCCCTGTTTGCAATTAGGGTTAGGATTATAAAATTAAGGTTTCAGTCCCTAACCTTTAAGTTATATTAAGATTTGGGCCTTTAAGTTTTTGATTTAATAATTCAGTCCCTAAGGTTTAAAATTAATTAATCCAGGCCATTAAAGTTCTGAATTTATAATTAAAGCCCTCAAAATTTAATTATTAATTCAAATTGGCCCCCTAAGTTCATAATTAATCCAAATTGACCCCTAAAGTTTCTAATTTTTAAAATTTGATCCCCAAAGTTTTGAATTGGTCAATTTTGGCCCCTAAAGTTTTAACATTTGTTCTAATTGATCCTCTAAAGTATTGAATTAATTAATTATGGTCCATAAAGTTTCAAGTTTATTAATTTCAACCCCTAAAGTTTGGAATTAATTAATTTTGCCCCCTTAAAGTTTTAAATTATTAATCCTAAGGCCCCTAAAGTTTAAAACTAATCAAAATATGCAAAACTCGTGATTATCTTTCTCAAATTTTGGTACTAAAGACTCTTTTAAGAGATATAATATTCGAAAGTTAGTTAATTGAAGCAACATGTTGCCAAAGCAACCTCTCTTGTGGAAATTGACTAATTTAGAATATTAAAAGGTGTTTGTGCATGTGTTATTTATGGGAATATTGATCGGCCCAAAGGAAGGTCAATATTTAACCGAATACACGTGCACCTGTGGTGATAAACGTGTGATGATTATTTGGTTTAATGTGTGATCAATAAATCGGTCCAAAGAAAGGTTTATTGATTGACACATTATTTTATCGTCAATGGTTGATCACTACACCAAGAATACCGCTTACAAGTCAATATCTCTGTCCAAAGACTAGATATTGATGTTGTGCTTGGTATCTTGTGATGGGCCCTACCACTATTTGATATTATTATTATTTGCATACTAAAGATATTCAAAGTGAGCTATTCATAATAATCGTTCTCTAATTCAGTTTCAGATTCTGCTGCTAATATCTCTACTAGCATCAATTCAATTCCAATGCTAAATGGCACAAACTTCAGGGCTTGGCAAGAGAATGTGATGATTGTTCTCAGAGTCATGGACCTAGACCTTGCTTTACTGGTTGATCAACCTGCTGCACTTACTGATAAGAGTACCTCTGATGACAAGAGGAAGATGGAAAAGTGGGAACGATCGAACCGTATAAGTTTAATGGTCTTGAA